CATATTCAACAATATTAACATTCTATTCCTTCAAGACTGGGCATATTTAGGCCTAGGTTAGGTTATGTGTTAAGGTTGTGCTAGCAAAGTTTGTGTGTGTAATGTGTGGGTGAAGGCGTAACGGAGCTGCAATTCGAACAGACGTCGTCAGCGTAGCACTTCGAGAACAATTCGAACGTCATAATTTGTTAGTTGTATGTAGTGGGGTTTTCCTTCAAAAATAGTGGGGAGGGGTTGGTGGGTGGATGGAATGAACACTGTGAACACTGGCCTGTGGTGACGAGTACGAGCTTACAAGACGAGTCATCCCGCACGGCCCAAACGTGTTGATCTGCTGCTGCTGCTGCTGCTGCTGCTGCTGCTGCTGCTGCTGCTGCTGCTGCTGCTGCTGCTGCTGCTGCTGCTGCTGCTGCTGCTGCTGCTGCTGCTGCTGCTGCTGCTGCTGCTTCTGCTGCTGCTGCTTCTGCTGCTGCTGCTTCTGCTGCTGCTGCTGCTGCTGCTGCTGCTGCTGCTGCTGCTGCTGCTGCTGCTTCTGCTGCTGCTGCTGCTGCTGCTGCTGCTGCTGCTGCTGCTGCTTCTGCTGCTGCTGCTGCTGCTGCTGCTGCTGCTGCTGCTGCTGCTGCTGCTGCTGCTGCTGCTGCTGCTTCTGCTGCTGCTGCTTGCTGCTTCTCTGCTGCTGCTGCTGCTGCTGCTGCTGCTGCTGTTGCTGCTGCTGCTGTTGCTGCTTCTGCTGCTGCTGCTGCTGCTGCTGCTGCTGCTTCTGCTGCTGCTGCTGCTGCTGCTGCTGCTGTTGCTGCTTCTGCTGCTGCTGCTGCTGCTGCTGCTGCTGCTGCTGCTTCTGCTGCTGCTGCTGCTGCTGCTGCTGCTTGCTGTTGCTGTTGCTGCTGCTGCTGCTTCTGCTGCTGCTGCTGCTGCTACAAAAAGGGGGGAAGAGGGGGTGGGTGGGGGGGGGGGGAAGAGGGGGTGGGGGGGGGGGAGAATGAATGGCTGAACCCCAAACACAAAGATACCATTTCCAGAAAGTGTGTGACCTAGACACTGCTGGAACACTTCCCATCACTGGAACTGTCTGGGGGGGGGGTGGGGAGGTCACACCCTGGAGATACCTTGAGGTTACCTTAAGTTAGTTTCGGGGCTCAGCGACCCCGCGGCCCGTTCGTCGACCAGACCTCCTGGTTGCTGGACTGGTCAACCAGGCTGTTGGGGGCGGCTGCTCGCAGCCTGACGTATGAGTCAAAGCCTGGTTGGTCAGGTATCCTTTGGAGGAGCTTATTGAGTTCTCTCCGGGAGGAAAGCCGGTCGGCCGAGCGGACAGCACGCTGGAGACTTGTGATCCTGTGGTCCCGGGTTCGATCCCGGGCGCCGGCGAGAAACAATGGGCAGAGTTTCTTTCACCCTATGCCCCTGTACCTCTCTTGAACACTGTGAGGGGTCGGCCAGTTATGTCCCTTATGTGTAGTGGAAGCGTGTTGAACAGTCTCGGGCCTCTGATGTTGATAGTTCTCTCTTGAACACTGTGAGGGGTCGGCCAGTTATGTCCCTTATGTGTAGTGGAAGCGTGTTGAACAGTCTCGGGCCTCTGATGTTGATAGTTCTCTCTTGAACACTGTGAGGGGTCGGCCAGTTATGTCCCTTATGTGTAGTGGAAGCGTGTTGAACAGTCTCGGGCCTCTGATGTTGATAGTTCTCTCTTGAACACTGTGAGGGGTCGGCCAGTTATGTCCCTTATGTGTAGTGGAAGCGTGTTGAACAGTCTCGGGCCTCTGATGTTGATAGTTCTCTCTTGAACACTGTGAGGGGTCGGCCAGTTATGCCCCTTATGTGTAGTGGAAGCGTGTTGAACAGTCTCGGGCCTCTGATGTTGATAGTTCTCTCTTGAACACTGTGAGGGGTCGGCCAGTTATGTCCCTTATGTGTAGTGGAAGCGTGTTGAACAGTCTCGGGCCTCTGATGTTGATAGTTCTCTCTTGAACACTGTGAGGGGTCGGCCAGTTATGTCCCTTATGTGTAGTGGAAGCGTGTTGAACAGTCTCGGGCCTCTGATGTTGATAGAGTTCTCTCAGAGTACCTGTTGCACCTCTGCTCTTCAACGGGGGTATTCTGCACATCCTGCCATGTCTTCTGGTCTCATGTGATGTTATTTCTGTGTGCAGGTTTGGGACCAGCCCCTCTAATATTTTCCACGTGTAAATTATTATGTATCTCTCCCGCCTGCGCTCAAGAGAATACAGATTTAGGCTCTTTAGTCGGTCCCAATAGTTTAGATGTTTTACTGAGTGGATTCTAGCAGTAAAGGATCTCTGCACGCTCTCCAGGTCAGCAATTTCTCCAGCTTTGAAAGGGGCTGTCATTGTGCAGCAGTACTCCACTCTAGAGAGCACTAGCGTCTTGAAAAGTATCATCATCGGTATAGCATCTCTAGTGTGAAAAGTTCTTGTTATCCAACCTGTCATTTTTCTTGCAGTTGTGACTGCTACTTTATTGTGTTCTATAAAGGTAAGGTCTTCCGACATGAGTACACCCAGATCCTTTACATTGGTTCAGTTGTGTGCGCGTGGGAGGGACGTGGGGTTTGCGCGGTCCCTGAATAAACTTCAATATATTCGGTCATATTAGGATCACAGTGATAGAACACGGATCACAGTTATCACAGTGTAAAACACACATTACAAACAAAAAATACAGGTGAAGCCACTAGAATTTAGTGTTTAATAGAGAATAACCACCTCGCAGGAGCCCACGTGGGAACGTAGAGCCTACACCAAGCCCAAGTCTACATATACTACCTCCGTATACCTAGACTATAGTGAACAGTGAACGGTAACAAAACAGGCATAAAGGCTTGAAAGTGTAGGTAAATTGTCACGTGGAAAATTTGGAACGTATAATTCAGTGAATAGTGAAGCAACACACACACACCAGGCTGTGTATGGGAGCCACGAGGCTTGTGTACACACTCGGTAGGCTGTGATGGGTCGCCCCCCCCCCTCCACCTTTACCACTGGTCAACAACCACTGGTCACTACCACTACCACCACAGACCAGCAGCATTATGGTCAGAAAGTCTTTAGTAAAGATGTGCACAGAATGCAACAAGGAAGTAGATTACCACCAGAGCTTCCAGTGCCAACTGTCCAGCAGCCCCACACAGTAAATGTTCCTACATGTCAAATAATGCCAGCAGAATTGGTCCCACAGACCAGAGACCACTCCGTGTACTGGTTCTGTAAAAAGGATAATATTACTGTCTAGGAGATGATCACAATTCTTGACAAACCGCAGCAGAGCACAGAGAACCACTTCTAACTGCCTGCACGGAAATCTCCGATGTTTTCAAACAAATTGTCAAGGCCACCCAGAGAGAGCCAGAAGTGGAGCTACATCTCGGCGCGTCGGGGCCGGATAAACTTAAGTGTTGCTAAGTAACTTGGTAAACTAGGCGGAACAATACCCTGCTCCGGGCTCAAGGGTAGAGGAGCATCAGAGAGAGGACAGTGTGGTATCCGGAGCAACCCGGGACACGTGACCACTCCACCTCTCCCCAAGACCTTAGCACAAACATCTAGCTGGTCGCCAAAGGTAAAGTTTGTTCAGAGTTTTTGTATAGGGAATAGGTCAACCCATTGCCAGTCAGGGAGTGTTCAGGTTAGGGAGTGAATTGATTTAGATTTTGTTTAGTTTTTGAATAAACCATTTAGCTATTAAATTGTCATTTTTTATAAATTTCCATTTTTGTGTAATTTATGTGAATTGGTCCGTACGACGTGGGTAGCCGGCGAGGCCGAGTTGAGTTGGGCGCCCATTCTAACACCGAGTCACAATTCAGTATTCCCTTTGATTATTGATTAATTCCACACTTGCGGATATCCGAGTCATCTATTACTAGTGGGGATCAAGCCCCAAAATTTTATTGATTAGCATGATCGATCCAGACCTCGATCATTGCTCAGTGTTACTGGTCTGGTGGTGGCAGCGAAAAGGCGACTCGAGAACTTTGCTAGAAGTCTATTTCACGTCATACGGGTTGTAGAATCTTAAGTCGGTCAATTGTCTTAAGACCACGTGGCGTGGGGGTCGGCTCAAGTAAAAGTTTGGAGTCCCTTGGTATGGAGATTTAAAGTAGAATACGGGTAGAGAGAGGAGTAGAGAGAGGGGTAGAGAGAGAACCAAGTTACAAAGAGACGAAGAACGAACCCCCCCCCCCCGTGTTACATGACAGGTGGTGGTGGTGGTGGGCACTGGTGTGACAGGTGGTGGTGGTGGGGGCGGGCACTGGAGTGACAGGTGGTGGTGGTGGGGGCACTGGCGTGACAGGTGGTGGGGGCGGGCACTGGTGTGACAGGTGGTGGTGGTGGTGGGGGCGGGCACTGGTGTGACAGGTGGTGGTGGTGGTGGGCACTGGTGTGACAGGTGGTGGTGGTGGGCACTGGTGTGACAGGTGGTGGTGGTGGGGGCGGGCACTGGCGTGACAGGTGGTGGTGGTGGTGGCGGGCACTGGCGTGACAGGTGGTGGTGGCGGGCACTGGTGTGACAGGTGGTGGTGGGGGCAGGCACTAGTGTGACAGGAGGTGGTGGTGGTGGGGGGCAGGCACTGGTGTGACAGGTGGTGGTGGTGGGGCAGGCACTGGTGTGACAGGTGGTGGTGGTGGTGGTGGTGGGCACTGGCGTGACAGGTGGTGGTGGCGGGCACTGGTGTGACAGGTGGTGGTGGTGGCGGGCACTGGTGTGACAGGTGGTGGTGGTGGTGGTGGGCACTGGTGTGACAGGTGGTGGTGGCGGGCACTAGTGTGACAGGTGGTGGTGGGGGCGGGCACTGGCGTGACAGGTGGTGGGGGCGGGCACTGGTGTGACAGGTGGTGGTGGTGGGGGCAGGCACTAGTGTGACAGGTGGTGGTGGCGGGCACTGGCGTGACAGGTGGTGGTGGCGGGCACTGGTGTGACAGGTGGTGGGGGCGGGCACTGGCGTGACAGGAGGGAGGTACTAGGTACTAAGGACTCACCTGATGTAGTGTTCCAGGTGTCACATCTCATCTGCAACAACACAAATATAAGTATTAACAACACACTCATAACTTGAGTTATCAAAAACTCTCTAACAATCCTAAACATTTATATACCAATTAATCATAGATAAAGCGGTACAAGAGCAAACATTAAGGCCCAGAGTTGTATTGACTGATGATCAAACAATAAATATCTCTGCCCTAATATGGTAAACTTTCAGAAAAAACATCACTGATAAAAGACAAATGTGACTACGTTAATTTTAGTCAAAAATGATATTAGCCTGAGGGGCTCGTTTGAGAGGAGTTTTGAGGGGCCTCGTAGCCTGGTGGATAGCGCTCAGGACTCGTAATTCTGTGGCGCGGGTTCGATTCCCGCACGAGGCAGAAACAAATGGGCAAAGTTTCTTTCACCCTGAATGCCCCTGTGACCTAGCAGTAAATAGGTACCTGGGTGTTAGTCAGCTGTCACGGGCTGCTTCCTGGGGGTGGAGTCCTGGTCGAGGACCGGGCCGCCGGGACACTAAAGCCCCGAAATCATCTCAAGATAACATCAAGATAACCTTAATAAATCAAACGATGATCGCCTCATAATTATGTGAATAATAATCATTTAAACCTACCGAATAATTTTAATTACAATCAGTAAGACCAACTGTTCAGTCTTTCCTAACCTAGCCGGGTGAAATTGGTGGCCTAAGGCTAAGACTCGACCCTTTCCTATGGGACCTGACAGCAGGGTGGACACCGCTTCAGATTCGTAGTCAAGAGGTTTCGGGTTCAATCCTTGGTGGAGGCAGAAACAAAATGGACAGTTTCTTTCACCCTGACGCCCCTGTTACCTAGCAATAAATAGGTACCTGGAAGTTAGACAGCTGCTACGGGCTGCTTTCTGGGGGTGTGTGACAAAAAGGAGGCATGGTCAAAGACTGGGCCGCGGGGACGCTAAGCCCCGAAATCATCTCAAGATAACCCTACCAGAGGACCTAAAACAGAGAACGTCACTTTCGCGAGCGGCTTCCATTTTCTAGTACGACAATTCTTGGCCCTATGTAACGCATACGATTGAAACGCGACGTTCTTTATAAGAGAGGTTGTACTGTTTGGGTATTGTGTTCTGAACTACCAAATGTGAGAGTGGAGGTCTTGCTAGCTGAGTGACTGTCCCTCTCTGTGACACCTCAGGTTCTTTATCTCTCTCTTGATGATATTCCTGCAGGACCCGATACTGACCGCTTGCTACACCTTAATGATGCATCAGAGACAAGTTCCGCGCTTAGTTTGACTTACACGACGGAGAGCTGTTTCACTACATATGAAATAAACTCAACCAACCATCAACAGCCAGCCGACACTCGTCTACAGTCTACTATCTTCAAACCATGCCAGAACATCCGGCATATTGCTCCGGCCATCATAGTACTTAAGTCACATTCACTATGTGTGATTTATGATAGCATTCAAATCATGGCAGACATGGCCCCCTACACAAGGGAGGGAGCAAAGCATTGGTAAAGAATTATAGACCAGTTGCACTAACGTCCCACATAATAAACGTAAATGAGAGAGTGATCAGGAGTCAGGTCCCCAGTTTCATGGAAACCAATGACCTTTACAACCCAGGCCAACATGGATTTAGAACAGGAAGATCGTGCCTCTCACAGCTACTTAACAATGTCACTGAGGCATTAAAAGAATATCAGAATGCAGATGTGGTATACACGGACTTCCCAATGGCATTCTATAAATGTGACCGTGGAGTGATAGCACACAAAATGAAGTCAATGGGAGTAACTGGTACAGTAGGACTCTGGATAGTCAGTTTTCTGTCAAAGAGAACACAAAGAGTAACAGTAATTTATCTGTCCAAGTACGGTTAAAAGCTCTGTACCTCAGGGTATAAGGGACTATGAAGGGAAAGCGCCAAGCCATTACGACTATATAGCACGTGGAAGGATTCAGGATAAGGATCTTGGATGGGTACGGTCCTTGCACCACTGCTTTTCCCTATTCTCAAGACAGATATATACAAGGCACAGCTTCGTATCACCCTTTGTATCAACCTGGACAGCAGAAAATAACATGATGTTTAACAGTGATAAATTCCAGATACTCAGGTACGGTAAAAATGAGGACCTTAAACATAATACAGGGTACAAAACACAATCAAATCTGCCCATAGTAGGAAAGCAGCATGTCAAGGATTTGGGAATAATTATGTCTGACGACCTAACGTTTAGGGAGCATAACCAAGCAAATATTGCGACAGCCAGAAAAATGATCGGATGGATTACGAGAACTTTCAAATCCAGGGATCCCATCACAATGGTTGTACTCTTCAAGTCACTTGTGTTGTCCCGTCTTGAGTACAGCTCAGTACTCACTTCCCCCTTCAGAGCAGGAGAGATTGCTGAAATAGAGGGAGTACAGAGAACATATTGGGCATTTATCGATGCGATAAAGCACCTAAATTATTGGGATTGTCTCAAAGCTCTCCAAATGTACTTCCAAGAAAGGAGACAAGAGAGATACCAAATAATATACACGTGAAAAATACTGGAGGGCCAGGTCCCAAATCTGCACAGAAAAATAACAACGTACTGGAGTGAACGATATGAAAGAAAACGCAGAATAGAACGAGTGAAGTGCAGAGGTGCCATAGGCACAATCAGAGAACACTGTATAAACATCAGAGGTCCACGGTTGTTCAACGTCCTCCCAGCGAGCATAAGAAATATTGCCGGAACAACCGTGGACATCTTCAAGAGAAAGCTAGATAGGTGAACACTGTGAGGGGTCTGCCAGTTATACCCCTTATGTGTAGTGGAAGCGTGTTGAACAGTCTCGGGCCTCTGATGTTGATAGTTCTCTCTCAATTGAACACTGTGAGGGGTCGGCCAGTTATGTCCCTTATGTGTAGTGGAAGCGTGTTGAACAGTCTCGGGCTTCTGATGTTGATAGTTCTCTCTCAGAGTACCTGTTGCACCTCTGCTCTTCAACGGGGGTATTCTGCACATCCTGCCATGTCTTCTGGTCTCATGTGATGTTATTTCTGTGTGCAGGTTTGGGACCAGCCACTCAAATATTTTCAACGTGTAAATTATTACGCTACTATCTTATGTTGCTTAGGTACTTTCTTATCTGATGAATTACCTTCCTTTTACTCCTGCCTGCATCTTCAGCTTGTGCACTATTCTACTATGAGGTACTCTGTGAAAGACTTTCTGGCATTCCAAAATTACCCAGTCTGCCCATCATTCTTTTTCTTGCCTGGTTTTTGTCGCCATCATGTCTTGGGAAACAGAGCTCAGGAGAAAGACTTCCCATGTTATATCCTTTAGGAATTATCTTATTTTGTAAATTCCCTTTCGGAACGTGTGTGCTTGTGTGTGTACGCTTTTTTTTGTGTGTGTGTGTGTGTGTGTGTGTGTGTGTGTGTGTGTGTGTGTGTGTGTGTGTGTGTGTGTGTGTGTGTGTGTGTGTGTGTGTGCGCGCGCTTGCATGTAAGCACACTCATCATGCTCATCATCAAAGTGAGGGTGCCAGGCACGCCCATGCCACCTGGCACTCCCCCACCTGTATATATAGCGCCACAACACCCACCACAACACCCGCCACCACAACACCCACCACCACAACACCCACCACAACACCCACCACCACAACACCCACCACCACAGCACCCACCACAACACCCACCACAACACCCACCACAACACTCACCACAACACCCGCCACCACAACACCCACCACAACAACACCCACCACAACACCCGCCACCACAACACCCACCACAACACCCACCACCACAACACCCACCACAACACCCACCACCACAACACCCACCACAACACCCACCACAACACCCACCACAACACCCGCCACCACAACACCCACCACAACACCCACCACCACAACACCCACCACCACAACACCCACCACCACAACACCCCCCACCACAACACCCACCACAACACCCACCACCACAACACCCACCACAACACCCACCACAACACCCACCACAACACCCACCACCACAACACCCACCACAACACCCACCACATCACCCACCACAACACCCACCACAACACCCACCACAACACCCACCACCACACACCCACCACCACAACACCCACCACCACCACACCCGCCACAACACCCACCACCACAACACCCGCCACAACACCCACCACCACCACACCCGCCACAACACCCACCACAACACCCACCACCACAACACCCACCACAACACCCACCACCACAACACCCACCACCACACCCGCCACAACACCCACCACCACACCCCCCACCACAACACCCACCACAACACCCACCACAACACCCACCACAACACCCCCACCACCACACCACCCACCACAACACCCACCACAACACCCACCACAACACCCACCACAACACCCACCACCACCCCACACCCACACACAACACCCACCACAACACCCACCACACAACCCCCACCACAACACCCACCACAACACCCACCACCACAACACCCACCACACCACCCACCACACAACACCCACCACAACACCCACCACCACAACACCCACCACCACAACACCCGCCACAACACCCGCCACAACACCCACCACCACAACACCCACCACCACAACACCCACCACAACACCCACCACATCACCCACCACAACACCCACCACAACACCCGCCTCAACACCCACCACAACACCCACCACCACAACACCCACCACCACAACACCCACCACCACAACACCCACCACCACACCCACCACAACACCCGCCACAACACCCACCACAACACCCGCCACAACACCCACCACAACAACACCCACCACCACAACACCCACCACAACACCCACCACAACACCCACCACACACCCACCACACACACCCACCACCACCCACCACAACACACCCACACCACAACACCCACCACAACACCCACCACAACACCCACCACAACACCCACCACAACACCCACCACAACACCCACCACCACAACACCCACCACCACAACACCCACCACCA